TGCGTATGTGCATTTGTTCAGATGCTAAATGGTAACTATCTGTATGACCTCTAATGCTCATTGATGGCATAAATTTCTTATTTCTTCTGTAGTGCAGAAAACTGGTTCTTATGGAGACTGCTTAGCAGAGCTCAATAGTCAGTAGGATAGATGAAGTCACTCAATTTACAGTGGAAGGAAGTGGGAAAATGAGGTTTAATGGTTAGAATTTTATTTTACAAACATGCATATGTTACATATATTGATTATGTGTTAGACGTTTGGCATAGAAGTGGAATATGGGATCAATAAAAACCACAGAGAGACTATATTCTAGCCTAAGCTCTGAAAAGTATGTTAAACACTCCTCTATAACTCCTTTTGATTCTGTACAATCTGTAGTGGGGCCGTGAATGATTTCATGGAAAAGAGAGTTAAGAAAACACTAGTCAGTGTAGTGTAATATTGGCTTTCAAGAGTTGACTTCAATTCTTAGATAACTATTTTGGGCATAATTAGTAGTGATACTTATAATTATAGAGTAATTCCTCACTCTGCCATATTCCTTTTGCTTCAAACACAAATCACTGAAGAATATGTCTAAAAGATATAAGTGAATTAAAAGGGAATAAATGACAAAGAAGTAGTATTTTTAAAGAAATTTCCAAATTAAAGGTAAGCAGGATATGTAAGAAACCTACATCTATATATGCTTCTTGCAGAATGTAATATCGAAACCAAAAAACTAACAGACTATCAGAGAAAATAAATTGTTCATCAAGGAACAGCAAATATATGATAGAAGCTATAAGATGATAGAGTGACATCTTCCAAAAGGTAAAGAGAAATAACTGTAAACTTAGAATGTTATGTACATTCAGTATTCAAGAGATAAAGACATTTACATATATACAAAGACTAAGAAAGTATATGTATGCAGATTCAATACACTGAATTCAGTACAATTCAAAATCTGTTAAGCAATCCAGGAGGAAGAAATGATATATATAAAATGATGGTGAACACAGAAACGGATAGAGTATGTCAGTAAGTTTGTTAGCCATTGCCTATAAAATTTTTTAAAAAAAATGTTAAGAGAAAATTCAAAATAGGTAAACCTCTTGACGATAATCGAGCAGATTGATCAAGAAAAAGAATAAAATTAAAGACACTATTTACTACTCAAACCTAAATTGTCTGCCTTTATAGTTTATAATCTTAAAACTGTGTTGCATTGACTCAGAAGAAAATACTATTTAGGCAACTTGAAATCCTTACAATGTGAAAATGATAAAAATTTCTGGAAAAGTATAAATGTCAAAAGAGACTCAAGAAGATTAAGGTAACCTAGTCTTCCCCTCTTCCTTTCTTACCAGAAGACCTAGAATATTTATAGGAAAGCGTTACCATGACTTCACAGAATAGATTATTTCCTTTATTATATAACCTGTCAGGAAACAGAAAAAGAATAAGCTGCTCAAAAAACTCATGACATACAAAACAAAGCTAGGCTTAGACATTACAAAAAAAAAAAAAAATTTTAAGGAAAATTACAGATATCAGTAAATACAGATGAAAATACCCTAAATGAAAGACAAATAAATAGAATTTTGTAGTGTGTATTAATGTAATTCTCAACAATGGAGGATTAAAAAATTAAAGGTAGAAAAATTATACACGATTGCTTCAATAGACCTTAAAAACTTTTGATATATTTCCTGTAATTAACCAAAAGGGAAAAAGAAGACCTTTTAACAGACTCGGAATAAAAGGATCTGAAATTTCTTTAATCTGATAAAGTAAAATACCAAAAACGTAGAGTGAGAAATCATATTTCATGATAACATTTTTAATAGTCTTTCTATTAAAACCAGAAAGAAACAAGAATGCATACCTTCCTTTTAAGCAGTGTGCTGAAGGGCTGAGGCACTGGAATAACACAAGAAAAAGAAATTAAAAGACAAAATTAGTAATCAGAATAAGCCATTTGTGTTTTTTTAAAATAGGAAATTTGATGGTGTCTCTTTCTCACTTAGCCTAGTTAACTAGTAATCATAAAAACAGTGCTTTTCATTTAGTCATTATTGGTTGTAAAATTAAACTGGTTACTTTATTCAACCACCAATAGTTTTACAGTTTGTAAGGATGTCTGTGAGGGGAAAAGTGGCCTCTTTCAAAACGTTCTACTTTCTTAATCCAAAATAAAATGAAGTGAAAGTGGTATGAAATAGAAAATGAAATTGATTTTTTTTTTGGGAGGGGTGATGATCAGATCTCTTGAACTTACATTCTGTTTAAGGATTGCCTGTGTCTGAATTTAAATTTGTTCACATTGTGGGTCCTATCTGAGAGCTTTAAAAATACACCACTTAGCTGAACTCAGTCTTAGCTTGATGAGCTAAAGTAACCCTGCAGACTCGTGGTGTGTTTTAGTCTTGGTCGTTATTTACTGGTAGCCTGGACAGAGTGCATGGCATGTGTTCTTTTCTGTCACTTACCCCTCTCTGGCTTTCCACAACCCTATTTTACGATCACTTTTCACATTTTACAGTTTATTTATCTTTCTTCTCCTAGGAAGCTGGAATTTTCTTTTCACTGAAGGGATTGAAAATTATTTGGTGAAAAGAAAAACACAAAGCATTTAGGACTGTTTCTACTTAGGTAAAACAGAATAAAATAATTTTGTTAGGAAAACTATCAACAAATTGAGTAACATAAATTGTTTATGCAATTTAAAAGTTTTGGTTTTGCTCATAAATCTTCATTGTTCAAAATGTGGCTTTTGTAAAATGCAGTATTCTCACCTATCCATCCTGGGCCTATGATTTGTCTTTCTTTCACCTCTGATGATACCATGGAGGCTAATATTTAAAGAAAGAGGTTTCCTGGTCTGTGTTACTAGACAGACCATGATTTCTGCCTCATTTCAACTTCAGGCTGTCTACTTGATAGGCTGGGACAGGTGGATGTTCTGCTGACCAGCATCTGATTTGGGAGGCTGGAGGCTGTGAAGATGGGCATGTCTGACAAAAGAAGTAGTTCTCTGAATATGAGTGTGCAGAGTGAAACTGGGACCGGCAGATGGTATCGCTATGCTGTATTTTATTTTTTCTTCAGCTGGGAGATTTGCTCTGGCCGTCTTTTCACAGAAACCAGCTGGGATTATCCATTAGTTGCCAGCACCCACACGTTTGGGTAGAAGAGACTTGTTGCTTTTTCAGAATTTATTCAGCCACTCATTTTCTTGTTCATCTGGTGGTAAAATATGCTAGTCAAAAACAGAATTGATGAGAACTGATCTTTCTTTGGAGAACATCCCAATTAGATCCCATTTCCACAATATGATTACATTTTGACCTCTGGCTTTTTCCATTTCTTTCTTGTTTTTCTTTAATCTTCTGACATTTTAAGTTTCTGTGATCTCTGCTATTGCCACTTCAAATCTCACTACCGAACGTTCTTCCCATGTTGTAAAGAGAAGGACCATTTCTCAAAAAAATACCGACACAGTATATAGGAATATATAATATAAACTTAAATCTAGCACACCTGCTAGTTTTAGCTTTCCTTTGTCATATGGAGCACTTAGGCTTCTGATCCAAAATGCTTTTAAGAAACATGTTTTGGTATAGTTTCTGAAAAGCACTAATCAAAATAGTTATATAGAATTAAATTCTTTGTAGCTACTATTCCTTGGACTGGTTTAGAAATGTTCCTTAGCATTTGAGATGAAAGAAAGCAGAGATAGCAAGTAGATTCATTTGAGGGATGGATCAAGGAAGAAACCTGAGAATGAATCTAGGAGTCGTGCATGTTCTATGTCCTTGGGAAATTTTGGTTGCGAAAGAAAAGAAGATGCATCTTAAACATGTACTGTCTTCTTTAGTTAAGTTCTTTTAGAACAGTTTGAATACAATGGTAATTTAATAACATATAACCTATTAAAAATAAGTAAGATAAAAGTAAGTTCAGGACTGAGGGCAGAAATTTCAAAAGAGCAGAGAGTAAATAAAAAACAGAACAAGACAGGGGCCTTATATAGTTGCCCTTTAAGGAGAGTACATCCACGCATTAGATCTGTATTCCTGCAGCTGAGGAGCCAACAGGGCTGTGTCAAGTTGAGTGGGTCCTACAATGTTTGTGTACTCTGGTGTGAAATTTTCAGGACTATATGAGTCCGGAAAGGAGTTTGAGAAATAACCTGACTGACCCCGGGCATTTCTCCTTCAACTGTCTAACTGGGTAGGTTTTCAAAAGCCATCTGAGACCACAGTGAAATCCAGGACCCAGGGATTTATAAGGTACAGCATTTGTGATGCTATTGCCAGGATTGACTCAGGGTCTCTGGCTGAGTAAGGAGGTGTTTCTTTTCTCACTGCTACATGTGCCGCCTTCCATCCATTAAGAATTCCAAGTATTAGAAATGGAGTTCAAAATTTTTTTTAATGTATTCATTGGTTCAACTGAGATGTTTAAGAAATGGCCACAACCAATTCCAAGCTCTTCCTCAGGGTTTTTTCTGAACTCTTAACGTTTTCCTCCCTTATTTTGGAAACTTTTGCTTTGGCCTTATTCTTATGCAGGGTCTCTCTGATAATGTCCACCAATATTGTTCATCTTCTATTTTACCGGCTTAAAAACCTCAGCAAAAAGAACACTTCTTCCCCCAATGAAATCCCAAAGCTGGCTTTCATTTGCTTGATTTGTGTATCGTTACAGCCCTGACCCCATCAATATAATTATAACTAGGCTCTCCTTTACCCTTTGGAGCCTAGGGTCGGGGCCAACACCAACTGAACCATATAGACTGGGAATAAGGCAGAGAAGTCGGGATGCTGTTAACATTAGAGAACAAAGGGATAGTAAATATAATCAGATGTCCGGTATATATATATATCCCCAGACCTATTTAGCAGGAGAGCACTGTTAGCCAGGATTATGCACTAGCAGCTGGGTTTCTTCGCTGCAACTTCCACTGCTTAAGCCTAACCCCTACCTACATTGCCTCTGTTTTGCCACAGATATGTGTTTCCCAAGTTTACCCTGTGCTGGACTGAGTTTGCCGACATGAAGGTTCATGTGCCCTGTGAAACCATAGAATACATTGAAGCTAATTATGGTAAGACATGGAAGATTCCTGTGAAGACATGGGACTGGAAGAGTTCTCCGCCCAATGTGCAGCCCAATGGAATCTGGCCCATTTCTGAGTGGGATGAGGTTATCCAGTTATACTGAGATTGAAATGGTGGAATGAGTTTCCCTCCTGAAAAGAAATGTGAAAACTGTTTCAAAAGATACATGTCTACTATCAAACATGAGTAGGAGCCAAAGAAAAATGACAAGATTGAAGACACATCCGATTTAATCCTCATTTTACATTTTTTTAAGGAATCTGCACGTGTACAGGTTACAATGAAGCAGCAGAGATGAATGAGAGACGCCTGCCTCTTTCTCCCCTCTCTTTGGCAAGCACCCCAATTTTCTTTGAGGGAAATATCCCTGCCCTCTGAAGAGCTCTTATAGAATATATGTTCTCCAAGTGCTTTCAAAATGTTAGATAATGTTTAGACTGGGGGAAAGGGCTTAGCAGGCAAAGCTAAGCTAGGACGCTTACCAGGAAAGCTATATTAGTTGAAAAGAATAACCTGTTCCTGCTCTTAGCATTGCAGCTGCTAGGATAGTGCTACTTCTTAAGTTGTGGAGTCTGCATTATCCAGGTGATAAGACTTTAGGTAGCTTCAGGAAAAGATGCTAGCAGATTTCATTTTATAAGCAACCTTATGAGAAATTGATTTAAAATACAGGGCATCATCTTATAAGCAATTGAGAGCTTATTTCTAACCTTGTCAAAGTTGAGTAAATTTCCATACACTTTCTATCTTCGTATTTCAAGTGAGAAGAAAGCTTACGCTTGTGTGGTTAAGATTTCCAGCCATTGTGAGAATATTTTCACTGACTTCTGGTAGCACTTTTTGACAAATCATCCAAGTGAGACCATTCTACCAGGCATAATTGTGAAAGGGTTGTGATTTTGTGAAACTTATTTTTTTCTACTTCATTCCCTCAGCCATTTGTTAGGTAAGAATATGAGCTACTCATGACATTTTATATTTTCTATAAATTTGTAATCCTATAATCCCTCTGTTAATATTAACACTAAAATATTAGTAGAATACTGGTAATTGTCTAAATGTATTCTTCAGTGTGTTCATTCGTCAATTGTAGCTGAATGTATTTAATGTATAACCTATAAACTAATTTATACAATATGTAAACCTATCTGTGGCCTCCCCTCTTCCTGCACTTTGTATCAGGTCTCCAAAATGAAGATAAATGGCAAACCTGACAAACCAATCAGCCCATAGAAATCATAATCAAGTTCTAAATAGCTAAACCTAATTTCAGTTTTTGTAGTTGACAAATTTAAGTAATGTTTCTGGGCAAAACCCACCCTGCTCAGAGAATTCCATTTGCTTGGGCATATGCTTCACATTCCTGCCCATTTCTGACTGGGACTTCCACTGTGTGCCAGGGCATCTTCCCCCCCCCTCCACCCCGGTTTGGTTTACTTCTCTTCTCACTGTGCCTGGACTCTCTAAGGTCTTGACGTCTCCAAAATGTGAGCCTTGGTCCCGTTAGTGGAGGTTCCACATTCTTCCCTCCATAGGTCACTGGCAGCTGAAATAGCCCTATTGACTGTCTTCCATTTTCACAGACTACAGCTCTCAGTTCCTACCCTAACTTGGAGACTGGAGATAAGGCTTGCCTCTCATAGAGATTCAGCCATATTTCATCCCGTGCTTCTCAGCAGTTGCATTCTGCCATTGTCAAGAGACCTGGGGCAGGTGAACCTACCATTAATATACCTCATCAGATCGTGTTTCTTTCCTCCCCATAGTATTTCAACAGTCAGACTCTAAATCTCACCACTTTCAGGTCAAGTTTGCCTGGCTTACCATGAGAAGACGTCTTACACCAACTTGTTGGAAGCTAGGCCCCTGTGGATATGCCCAAAGAGGTCCTGGGAGGTGAGATTGATGACCTCTGCTTGGCCACCACATGGCCACACAGTCCTTCTCTAAGCAGGGGGTTCCTGTCCATTCTCTTTTCCTCTGCTGTCACTACTGACATCTGGTTCCTGCAGGAAAACCACAGTTCCCAAATTGAGCAGTCCTAAGAAGTTGGGTGGTGGAGTAAGTCTTCATGATTCTCTAGCTAAAAATCTTGAAGTGTGACCACTAGGAGGCAGAATGTCTGTCCCATCCCCCTCAAAAACAAGTTACATGCAAGTCATCTCCTTTTCTGAACAGAACTTCTATTTTCATATTATTGGTCAAGCTGTAGTCTCCTAGGCTTTCTTGTCCCACATGCTCCCTAGTTCCTTGCTCCCAAACAATTCTCTGTCCGTACCTCCCTAGATTTGGTACCTGCTCTGCCCTGGACTTCTTGGTTAATATTGTAGCTTTTCCTAGAGGTAACTTTTACCTGCTTGTTAGTAAATCTCTGCCCAGTCAAAAGCAGATATGTCATGATTTGGAGAAGGGAAGAATTTGGAATACTTAGTTTTGTTTAATTGTCTCTACTGGATGCCTATATCAGTATTAATAAAGAAGAATTGAAAATACTCATTTCAACCTTCTTTCCTCCAATTTGTGTTTCTCTTTCAAGCACGCAACAATCAATTGGGTATGCAATGCTATTTTAAGCTGCTGTGCATCAGATTAAAATCCTAATTATAGTTTGTAAATTAAACAGATCAATATAATAGTGATATCTTCTACGAACCAGTAATGAAGTAGTCAAGTATGAATTTTTCTAATGAGAAATCACTTCTGGCTTAGAATAACACCCCCCCATCATCATCCCTTAACCCAACCAAAGGCAGAAATTATATAGGCATCTATTAGCCAACCAAGCTGCTAAATACACCTCAAGCACCTTCTCACAGTGGGTTTGAAAGGGAATATGAGAATTAGAAGTACTGTATTTTGTTCTATAAAATGATATGCCATTAAAATGATATACCATTTAAAAAAATGCCAAATTTCGGGGCCTCCCTGGTGGTGCAAGGGGTTAAGCACTGCACTGTGAAGCAATCCGAAGCCTCTGCAGCACGAGTTCGATCCCCTGCTGGCCAGAGAGCAACCCACATGGCACAGCAGACCTCTCCTGACGCGCCCGCTGCTCCCCTCAGCAGTGTATTCCAGCCAATCTGCCTGTTCTGCTCCCCACTCTGTCTCTGGTGAATCCTCTCACCCCCTACATCTCCGGCTTGTACCCCAGCTCTTGTATGCATACATAAATAAATATTTTTTAAAAATCCCAAATTTTGTAGACTTCTGATGGCTCATTCAAGAGCATGGGGGATAGTTCATGTGTTTGTTAAGTGAAAACCATAAGTAACTATTTATATGTCCCTTCTATCTGTAACCAGAAAAACTTAGTTGAATTTTCTAAACAGTGATATTTTAAACATGAGTAAATTTCAGTGTATGCTTACCAGTTTACACTTTGATTTCATCTTCATGTACAGATACTTTGTGGTACTACTGAAAATGCCTTTAATATTATTTTCATCAGAATTTGTAATATATAATCCAGTTTGGGATGATGAATAAAATTTTTCTAATCTCTTGAGATGTTATGTGTTTATTTTTGAAGTTAGCTGTAGAAATAATAGACACTAACATTCATAAACAAGCTGATAAAATAGTGATCTTGCCACCAGTACAGTATTCTAAAATTCAAGTCTGGGAATCCAATAGTTTCAGTAATACAGCTTGCCAGCCAAAAGCCACCAGGTCACCTATTATCAAATAAAGTTATTCAGCAAAAGAGAATGCCCAACATGGAAACAGTAACATCTCAGGAAGAAAAAAAAAATGCTGGATGTTGAGGGGTACCTTGGTGTTGGTTTGGGAAGAAGGGCTCAAGAGTAATGTGCACCAGAGAGGAAGTAAGCTGGGACCAAGGTGGAGTCTTATCCAGAGAGCTCCAGGGAATTGAAACAGGCATTTGAGAGCCAAGACAAAAGCTTGAGATTAGATGAATTGGGGCAGGAGAGTTGGCAATGAGGTCTTCAACTCTGGGGAAGACATAAAGGCAACTTCTGGAAAGGGATGGAGGACATGGGGACGCAATGTGTGCACTGGTTGGTTATTAAGACTGGGCATCGCATTGCAGGCAATGCAAGTTAGGAATGAGGACAGGACTAACACAACACAGGGACACCACAAGCTTGTCTGTGGGGCCTGCAAAAAGCAGAAGCCTGGAAAGAAGATGGATCCAATTGAGAGTTTAAATTCTGAGTCTTGACTTGGTCCTCGTTGCCCTATTTCCTGTTCACCTCTGGAAACTCTGGTCTCGAAAGGATAAAGAAGAGCTGTCGTAGCTGTACTCAGAGCTCAGATTTATGTTAACTGACATTCTCCCCACTCTACCTCCTACCCCATAAAAAGACTTGGAGCTCCACTGGATTTCTGAGCCATTCTAAGCTCCCAAATCAGACCAGGCCAAGTCCATTTCGCTCTTCCCCATTTCCCCCCTAGCTGTATTCTGTCACCTGAGTCAGAGCTGGGTGGATCCTCTGGCTGGTGGGATCCGGGCCAGCCTTAGTGCCTGCAGGGATCACAGGAGTGGTGAGCGGGAGCCCACAAGCACTGCCTTGTATCTTGTCAAAACAGTCGGCTTCCCCTATATGAATGTCTCAGAATAGGGTCTGAAAGCCCTACTGCTACCCTATTTATTTCAAACGAATTGCAAAGAAACCAAATCCCCGCCAGGAAAAAAAGGATGTGCTCTTAGGTATTGTACAAGCATTTGTGTTAAGAAAAGCCGAGGTGAGAACAGTGGTGAAAAATCAAGGTTTTCTCTGTAGTGTTTTTATCAACTGGATTTATCTATAGATTTATTATATGCTGGAAAAATTCAGTAGTTCTCCTGCTGAGGAGGGAAAACCTATCTCTCCTCTACTATGTCTTTCTTCCCTGTGTGTCTCCTTTACTTTCACACAGAACACTTCACTTCTGACACCAAATGTGTGGAGGGATTGCCTCATGCCAAGCAATTCTCTGCAACACCAGATGGATGTTCTGTACTTTCATTCAGTTCTGACACTATGTACCTGGAGATCCCACAGGTGAGGGCTCGGTTCCACAGACTGCACCCCCCTCCCACAAACCCCTCAGTCCCACAATACTGCAGATGCCAGTTTCTTTTTTTTTTTTTTTTAATATTAAATTTTATTTTTATATTCCCCCATACAATTGCAAACGCCCCATTCTGACCCCAATCCTTCCCCTCCCGCCCCCCACCCCCCAAAAAGTGTCTCTGGTTCATAGTTTTTTGTTGATTTTGATTTTCACTTTCTTATATTCATTTTCCTGGTCCCTTATTTAAGTTTTCTAGATTCCTGCTATGAGTGAGACCATCTGGTATTTTGCTTTTTCTTTTTGGCTTATTTCGCTGAGCATGATCCCTTCCAGCGCCATCCATGTTGCTGCAAATTGCATGTGTTTATCTTTTTTGAATGCTGAGTAATATTCCATGGTATATATGTACCACATCTTCTTGATCCAGTCATCTATTTTTGGGCATTTGGGTTGTTTCCAAAGCTTAGCTATTGTAAACAGTGCTGCTATAAACATAGGGGTGCAGGTGCTCTTTGGAATTGATGTTTCTGTGTCCTTTGGGTAAATACCTAGGAGTGGAATTGCTGGATCATATGGAAGCTCTATGTTTAGTAGGTCCAGAAATCTCCACACAGCTCTCCATAGTGGTTGGACCAGTTTGCACTCCCACCAACAGTGCAGAAGAGTTCCTTTTTCTCCACATGCAGATGCCAGTTTCAAGCCCAGGATGTCACCTCTGCTTCTAACAGATTAGCTCTAAATGGGGGGTTCTCACCACCCCCTCCTTGGGTTCAATTCATTTGACCCAGCGGTTCACAGAACTTGTAGTTTTCTTCTGCTCACCAGGTTATTATAAAAGGAGAAGATAAGGGGTACAGATGAACATCCAGCTGGAAGAGAAGGGGAGGACAAGGTACATGGAAAGGCGTAGGGAGTGCCCATGCCCTCTCCTGCTACGTCCACGTGTTTACCAACCCAGAAACTCTCAGAACCCCATACTTTTTTGGATCTTTATGCAGGCTTCACCATGTAGGCACAATCAACCTTCACTCCACCTTCAGCCCTTTCCCCTTCTCAAGAGAATGAGGGAAGGGATGGAGATTGCAAGCATCTAATTGTGGCTTGGTCTTCCTGTGACCAGCCCGCACCCCAGGCCCATCCAAAGTTGCCCCATTAGAATAAGGCACTTATCACTGAGGAAATTGCAAGGGTTTCTGGAACTCTATCAGGAACCTGGGTCAAAGACCAACTATTTAAATAAAAAATGTCCTAGGGCTCTTATCACTTAGTAAATTGTGTGGGTTTCGGAAGCTGGGGACAGAGACCAATAGATATTTCCTATTATCTCACAGGTAACATTCTCTAGTTTTCCTAAGACACCCCAGTGGAGCCTCCTGAGAACATCTGCTGGATTTGAGGGTCACAGAGTGTCTCCCTTATCCCTTCAGTGCGTGTGTTTGGTTTGGGATTTGTGAGTCTGGGAAGCTGAGGGCTGTGGGCAGCTCAGGCCTGACAGATTTCTCCCACCTGTCTGAAATTTGGCCCAGGGGGCAGAGGCCCCTCCCCAGTCCAGTCCAGCACCTCCACCCTCCAGCCCCTGGAGCTGTGGCCTTTATTTCAAGGCTGGTCCCCAGGGGGCTGAGTGGGGAATGAGGACAGCTGATAAGCCTGACAGTATTGACTTTATGGGGAGTATTCAATGAATTTACTTTCTACAAGAAAGCTGCACTCTTATCTGCTGCCAGCAGAGCATCTAAATCCTCATCTAGAGGGCCTGTTGATGAGTCATGCCCCTTGTACAAAGAACAGAGAATAAAGCGCAAAAGGGGAGTCGCTCCCCACTCCCTTCCTTTTCTCCTGTACATGATTCTGCCCACCCACACAGCCCCTACCTTTTCTACTACCCTGGGGTTTCTTGGCTGGAAATAGAAGCCTCAGAGTGCCAATCCTTCAAAGTTAAGGCCAAGTTAGCTTGGTTTTGCGAGCATGAGCAGCTGGGCACACCCAGGTCTGTGTGTTCTTCTAATTGTAACTGTGGAGGGGAGGGTGGGGAATCCACCTACTTGAGGCTTTAAGTGCCCTGCTTTCCTCTGCAATGGTCAACATTTGCTCTGGACAGAAATACTGCCTGGCCTCAACACCAGGTGTCTCGGTGGGGAAATGTGCGTGCATGTATGTGGCTGGGTGTTACTAAGGGGCCTGGGTCTGGGGAGCTGGAGAATGGAAATTAAATGTAAGAACCTATGTTTAAGAACAGATTTTCTTTCCTCTCTTTATGCAATCTTTCATCCCCGGGCTCTGTTTACTTCACTAATAGAAGGAAATAAGTGTTTCGTAGCAGCACAGGACACAAAGCAATGGGAAGGAGAGGGTGGGAGCCAGGATATGGGCTGGGAAAACAAGAGAAAAATTATTAGAGGTGCGTGTTCAGATTCCCTTATTTATCTTTTGGATAAAATTTTTCTGGTAATAAAAATAATATTTTTGAGGAGCTATGAATTAATTAGATATCTATTACCACCGTTTTAAAGCATTTCCTCCAAGTCACTAAATTTACATTAGCTTCCTAAATCTTCACAATAACCCACAAAGTTGGTATTATTTCCAATTTATGGCAGATAAAATGGAGACTGTGAGAAGAAACTTGCCCAGGTGTCACTTGTTGTCAGAACAAGGATTCAAACACCAATCTGGCTCCAAAGTCAAAGCAAAGGTCTTTTCTTAGTGACTACACTGAACTGGTCCTACCTGGTATTTCTCAATCCTTATCCCATTCAGTCACAGTAAATCAATGAATGTTTATTATTCTAGAACACAGGCATGGAAGGGTAAATTTTTTTTCGATTCTAGTAGCTTTTTATTTCTTAAATGAATGGCTGGTTTAATTCAGGAAGTGACAAAGTAGCAGTGAACCTCTAGACCAATTAATAAATTCCTGTATTTACAAGCCATGCAGTAACTGCATCACTGTGCTCCCCCCAGGCACAGCCTTCAGCAAAGGAAAGAGAAGAAACAGGAAGGAAAGTCATGGACAAAGTGGAGTTGATCCACAGGGCAGGAAACCTTTTCAGGCATGACTCGACTCTGGATGGAGCACTCCCCAAATTGTTTATGCTTTATTTGCCTTCTTCATGACTCAAACAGGGCTCATTACATTTGCTTCCAGGTACCGACGACCATCCCTGAGAGTCAGTGTTCGCTGCTTGTTAGGTGGAGAACAGCTGGTACCTCCATGAGCAGCAGGCTGCGCAATCGCCCAAGTAAGGATAACTTTGTTTACACAGTAATGTTGTTTCTGCTCCTTTGTCCACAAAAGGCACTTGCGCTTCTAGGGAAAAACCCAGGGGCCAGAAGTTTTGTTCCTCCTAGGTCCGTAGCATTTTTTTCTTTCAGTGTTCATACCTGTGGAGTATATCCAGAGCCACAAAACCAGTGTACTTCAGAGACTCTGGCTACAAATTCCAGTATCTTCGCTCTTCTATCATGACTC